TAATATGCTTCCTACCTGTCTATAATTAACATTCCCTTCATGCTTAATGAAAAATTCCAGAGCTCTGTGTGCTGAAAAACAACATATTGAAGTATTGATTTATAGGTACTGTGGCCAGGCCCATGTTTTGTTAGAAGCATTATCAAAAACAGAATACAGTGCATCGTCATATCTAAGCCAAGTGGCACAGGTGCATGAAACACGATTTCTCAGAAAATGCTGTACGTGTGAGAGGGTGTGTTTTCTCACCTAGAGAGCTAATAAGGAAATACTGTTTCTGTGGCACGTCTGGACACTGAAGTCTCAGCAGTCCCTCTCTAATCCCCAGCTCCCAAGCTGACCAACAAAGCCAAAAGTGCTTAATCGCAGGGAAAAGGAACTCCCCGTGTCCAGAACTGAGCTACAGCAGTGAACTGACACGGATCTCGCCCAGCACGTATAGAGTACGGATCATAAAATTCTAGCTGCAAAGGACCCACGTGAACTGTGTTTCAGTTTCACTGTTGCCCTTAACATTAAAAAAGGTACCTCAGGAATCAATGCGGATGTTTAACAGTTTGATTAATTTTTAACATGTATGAAAACCAACAAAAATCTAAAGTCAGCAAGGTAAATAATACTATTTATTCACCAAAAAGGCAGATATTCTTGCTGCCAAAATATTTATTGAGCAAGCATAACGAGAGAATGAAAGAAACTGACATCACTTTTCTTTAATGAAGTCTCCTTCTAACTAATGTTAGATCCAGGGATAATCTATTAACACTATTCTAAAAATACCCAACATTGCCTTTAAAATTATTCCATTGAAACTGCATGCATGGGTTATCTTCTTGCCTTCCCACACAAAGTTTTACTCCTCACTTAAAGCTATTTACAAACTAAGACTGATCAAGAGAACCCAGAATATGATTAATTTAATTTGATCCTTACCAAATAAATCACATCAGAACGCCCCCCCTCCCATTCTGGAATAAGATCTAGACAAAACTGTGTGGCTTTGAATGATCTTTCACTTTTAATTTTACCCACTGATCTAAACCATCCTTACACAAATACGGTAAGATACCTTAAGGACCAATCTTGCACCAAAACAGGAATAACTTAAAAATAGTAATAAAAAAAGTCTATCATTTTAAGGCTCAGCCATTTCAACACACACCTCTCTTTCCAGTGCGGGAGACTCTCAGTTTGGCAGTTTGCTTCTCCTGTCTCCCATCCCCCCCGATTTCTCTCATTACTCATCTGGGCCCAGGTCCTAGAAGTTCACCGTTACAACGAATTTCGTGATGGATCCCCACAGTTCCACAGAGCCCCGGCGGGTCTGACGGGAGCCCCTGGGGGGG